CAGAGAGGGCACTGAGTGCCACCTCTGGCACCCGTGCCACAGGTTCGTCACCACTGTACTAGGCAATCTCTAAAGCATTCAGTTCATCTTTGTAAGATCTTCTTTGAAATCCTCGTCTCTCGATTTAATTTTGCATATTAGAACATGATCAATTACTGCACTGCTGTGACTAAGAATGGGACGTCAGTGGTAGAATCAAGCCAAGTATACATAGTTTTGTAGTTATTTCTAGGATGTTTGAGGAAACTAGTCATGTATCCTGTGCAAGAGAGCAAAATTTCAGGAATAGTAAATTCCCATCTGGTTCCCTACATAAGGTGTATTTTCTGAATAGCTAAGTGTCAATGAAATTTGGGAGAAACTCCCAGAAAAGAATGGAAACTTTTTTTCTCTGACCCCTATTCTTTTCACAAGGTATGATTGTGGAATCAAATTGTAACTTTCCTAAGCACTTTACAGTGATTGAAGAATTTGACTAGAGATCTAGATCAGTCCAACAGAAGGCTATGAAAATCTACCTTTTCCTATAGGAATTAGGGATATATTAAGGAAGGAAGGAAGGAAGGAAGGAAGGAAGGAAGGAAGGAAGGAAGGAAGGAAGGAAGGAAGGAAGGAAGGAAGAAAGAAAGAAAGAAAGAAAGAAAGGTGGATTTTATCTGTATTCTTCTAATGAATATAAGATGTCTACTGAGCCTTGATTGCTAAAAGCTACTTTATACAATAAAATAAAATCAGAATAGAGCTGGAAGGGACCTTGCAGGTCTTCTAGTCCAACCCCCTGCTCAGGCAGGAAACCCTATACCATTTCAGACAAATGGCTGTCCAATCTCTTCTTAAAAACTTCCAGTGTTGGAGCATTCACCACTTCTGGAGGCAGGTTGTTCCACTGGATAATTGTTCTAACTGTCAGGAAGTTTCTCCTTAATTCCAAGTTGCTTCTCTCCTTAATTAATTTTTATCCATTGTTTCTATTTCACTGGGTTTATGCAAATATAACAACAACAACAACAACAACAACAACAACAACAATAATAATAATAATAATAATAATAATAATAATAATAATAAAGTTGGAAGGGACCTTGGAGGTCATCGAGTCCAACCCCCTGCTCAGGCAGGAAACTCTATACCATTTCGGACAGATGGCTGTCCAGTCTCTTCTTAAAAACTTCCAGTGTTGGAGCATTCACCGCTTCTGGAGGCAGGTTGTTCCACTGGTTAATTGTTCTAACTGTCAGGCAGGTTCTCCTTAGTTCTAGGTTGCTTCTCTCCTTGATTAGTTTTCATCCGTTGCTCATGAAATACTTTGTTTTAAAAGTAGGATCCACATATAGGATCTTTACATTCTTTTTCAAATTATACTTGTCAAACTAGAGGATATTTGTTGGAAATGAATATTTTACTCTTTTTCTTTTCTCTGTTACCCATGCCAAAATGTGAGCACATAGTTTTAAGGAAAGTGATTATGTAATTCTTTTTTATTATTATTTTGTTGTTGTATGTCAATCCTGATTTTATGTTATATCTCTTACTTCTTTAAGGTCCCTTTCTGATGTACAACTTTTTTCATCAGGGATGGGAACTGTAAGACCAAGACAAAATCTCAATTTGCTCACTAAAGCAGTGGTGGGATTCAGCCAGTTTGCACCACTTTGGCAGAACCACTTTGGTAGCTAATTTTTTGTTGCTCAGGCCCAGAATGGACTTCCGGAAGCGGCATCCACACAGAGAACAGTTGTTTAGATATTTGAATCCCACCACTGCTGTAAAGTTACAGTTGTCTCCATCACTACATGTGGCTATGTTTGGAACTGGATCCATCAGCCTCCAGGAAAAAGAATAGATTGGCAGAACTGAGCCCTACAATGGGAGCATATAGTATTCATCTTCTCTTCAAAGTTGCACCATCATTACTTCAGACAACTCCAAAAATGAGTATTCCCTTCAGTTGAACTACTTATCAGCTGCTGACACTCCCAAATATTATTGTGCTGGAGACTTACATTGACAGATTTGGCTTGTACTTCTGAGCAAAAACAGGAAATTGATTCTGACTGGGCATTCCTGTTCCCTCAGATAAAAACTGAAAGTCTCACAAGGTTGAAATATACCACTTATGAATTCAATGTAGGTATTTATTTGATGGAGTGGATAAAGGAGAAAAAAAGCAATGTAGCTTAGCACCCACAGAGAAGGCCCAGGGGGAGGGCCTTCTCTGTGGGTGCCCCCACCCTCTGGAACGAACTACCCCCCGAGATCCGGACGATTCCGGATCTCCTATCTTTTCGCCGCGCCCTCAAGACATGGCTTTTTCAGCAAGCGGGTCTGGCCTAGGGAGAATTTTAAATAGGGACAATTTTAATTAGAATTTTAATGGTAACACAGCAGTAAATATTTGTTTTTAATTGGTTTTTATTGGGGATAGTGTTTGTATCGTTTTAATATGCTGTAAGCCGCCCTGAGTCCTGTCGGGAGAAGGGCGGCATATAAGTTTAATAAAATAAATAAATAAATAAATAAATAAATCTGTTTCTAATTTCCCTCTTCAGATCATCAGCTTAATGGTATAAGCCAGGGTTCTGTTTTACTGTATGAGAAATGCAAACGGATAGATGATTACATTTGGAAAAGTTTTCCTCTTGGGGGAAGCAAAGTACAAGTACAAAATAAGACTAAAGAATGATATTAATATAAATAAATAACAGAAGTCTTCTTGCACAATTGTAACCTTTGCTGCATCTATTCATTCATTTTTGGTTCAATTTGGCTGGAGTTTAATTTTGTTTGCCTTCTATTTCTCCCCATTCTCTTTTTCCTAGCAGTCCCCGAATTCAAATTTTCAATTGCTTTTCATTTCAACTATATATGCAAGGTGGGAGAACTTTATCAAATAGAAGTCAAACACTTTATGGAAACAGTGGTAGAGGGAACATTTTGGTGGGCTTTAATAACCATTAAGAGGTTAAACTGGTTACAGCACTTGAAGAGCAGTTACAGAAAACATTAGTAGTACTTCCTGAAATCTTTGTAAATATTTTCTTTGATATCTTTGTCACTCAGTTTAATTTTGTATATTACAACAGAGGGCATTTTTGTTCTGCTGTGAAAAAAGTAAGGAAGTCAGTAGTACATTCAAGGTATGGTTTCATAGAGATGTATTTAATTCTGGAATGTTTGAAGAAGCTAGTCATGTATCATGGGTGCAACAGGGCAAAAAGTCAAGAAGAGTATGCTTTCATCTGTTTCCCTATATTACATATAAGGGAAAGAAAAAAGAGGAAGGAAGCCATGTTCTGTGACTCCTACTCTTCTCACATGGTATCTTTGTGAACTCAAAAGGTCACCTTTCAAGCACTTTTTAATGTAAGATAGTGAGTATTCAGTATTTTTCTATAGGAATTAGGACAGTGGACAGTGTAGTAGGATATCAGCTGTCACAGAAGAAGGGAGGGAGGGAGGGAGGGAGGGAGGGAGGAAAGAAGGAAGGAAGGAAGGAAGGAAGGAGGGAGGGAGGGAGGAAGATGGCCTTTATCTAGATTCTCCTAATGAATACAAAGTCGCCACTGAATTTAGCTTTCTAGTGGGTTCCTTTCAGCATTATCGAAAAGATTCCACCCCCATTTGCACTCTGATACAGGTGGCCCCAAGAGCTCTCAGGGAGAATGCTAAGACCAGATGACTGCAAATAAATCTGATCCTTCCAACCCTCCCTCCATCCTGTTAAAACTACCACCCCCTTAGCCCTCTCCATCCTGCCAAACCAATGAAGCTTCTTGGATGAGAGGTTTTGTTTAAAGTGGTTTTGTTTATCTCACATTTAAAGGTGATAGGATAGGATAGAATAACAGAGTTGAAAGGGACCATGGAGGTATTCTAGTCCTACCCCCTGGTCAGACAGGAAACCCTATACCATTTCAGACAAATGGTTGTCCAGTCTCTTCTTAAAAACTTCCAGTGTTGGAGCATTCACAACTTCTGGAGGCAAGTTGTTCTACTGATTAATTATTCTGTCAGGAAATTTAATTCAAGGTTGCTTCTCTCTTTGATTAGTTTCCACCTATTCCTTCTTATCCTGCCCTCAAGTCCTTTGGAGAATAGCCTGACTCCCTCTTCTTTGTAGCAACCCCATCCAGTTGTCTTTTGAAAAAGCAACTTTGATACTAACAGTGACTCCTCTGCCACAGAGATTGTAGTACCAGGGCTTGCAGCCATGCCAGGGAGGTTGGTTGCACCAAATTCTGAATCTTTTGTATATTTGGAGCATTGTCAAAGGGCAAAAACTGAACAAAGGTTGCAGTAGAGCATCCACTGTTGCATGGTCAGTCCCTGCTTCTGTTTCTAGATCAGATGTCATGCTGGTCTTTTCCATTGTTCACAGAAAAGTATCACCAGAATGGAGATTAATGTCAGGCAGAAAAAAGAGGTGCATACAAATAAGAGGTTCAAATAAACTGACTTATTGCTTAAATTATCAGCATAAAGAGATAAAGGTAAACAGCATTCAAGGGGAGTTGGAGAGTTACTTCACTTGTGGCTATGGAAGACCTCTAAACTAATTCCTTTTTTCACTCTTCCCTCTGGTTCTACCAACCTTCCATATAAATAAAATTACTCTTCATTATAGTTATTGGGCAGCAAACACTTTGAATAAAAGAAAAGGCAGAAGCAAGAATACATTTCATTTCATTTTATTAAATTTATCATATTATCAATATCTGATAACTGATTAAGTGGAAATAGATTTATGGATAGAGAGTGAATGGTTATGGCCCAGCAAGAAAGCCTTTTTAAAAATAGAATATAGAGGATTCACCAATTCAATAAATTTTATATTTGAAAGAACCCTAAACAATCGAAAACTGATATGTTATGATACTGTGTTAAATATATGTTCTTAAAACTACAGTATTATTATAACTTTATATATATTTCCTATAGAGAGTACTCTTTCTATTCCTTTTTTCAGAAATTTCTCTCAGCCAGAAAAACCACATGATGTACTAATTTCTCTTTGTGAGTTGCTCCCTGAGATTTAGCTGAGGCCTGAAAACTATGATGTAGCATTTTGGCAAAAATATGCATCCCAGTAATGCAGCGCTGGAGGACAAGATGGAGAAGACCTCCACAGCTACCATGGCTTTTCCTTTCGTACTCAGATAGGCTGGAAAGAAGGAGATCCACACACTGCAAAAGGCCAACATGCTGAAGGTGATGAACTTGGCTTCATTAAAACTGTCAGGTAATTTACGGGCAAGAAAAGCCACAATAAAGCTGGCAATGGCCAAGACACCCATGTAGCCCAAGACACAGTAGAAGAAGAAAGCTGACCCCTCATTGCATTGTAAAATCATTTCTTGAGACTCTGAATGCATGTCTAACTCAGGAAATGGGGGTGATATCAACAACCAAAGCATACAAATACATACTTGAAAGAGAGAACAGGAAAAGACAGTAGAAAAGGCCAATCTTTTCCCCACCCATCTTCTCATCTGAGATCCTGGTTTAGTGGCCATGAAAGCCACAACCACTGTGATGGTTTTGGCCAGTACAGTAGAAATGGCCACTGAGAAGGTGATTCCAAAAGCTGATTGTCGGAGGAGGCAGGTCACTTGGCCAGGATGGCTGAGAAAGAACAAAGAGGATAGAAAACAGAGCAGAAGAGAGACAAGCAGGGTGTACGTGAGGGACCGGTTGTTGGCTTTGACAATGGCAGTATCTCTGTGTTTAATAAAGGTCCTAAGTACCCACATTGTGAGGAAGAAGAGAGAAAGAGCAGTTGAAGCTAAACCAATGCCTAGGGTTTCTTCAATAGTTAGAAAGACCACCGGTTTCACAATGCATTCTTTCTTCTCCTTATTTGGATAGTGATCTTCTGAACATTCAAAACAGTCATCCATATCTGGAAAAAAAAGTCAAGGAATTTGTCATCTATGCATTCCCTATTTTTGAATTTTATTTCTATGTAAATACAGCTTTACTTCAATTGTATCATTTAAGATTGGCATAATATAAAGAACAATGGGGAGGGCAATTATTCTTTGAAATGCAGTCTTTCTAACATTTTCAAATGTTCTAACATTTTCAGATTTACTACAATATAGATAATCTGCATAAATTCCAATGATGATTTCATGTGGGTTTTCTGGTGAGAAGAAAGGAGAAACCATGATATTAAATGCTTATCCTAAGTTAACAAAGAAAAATATTTTGTTTACTGAGTCTAAGGGAGAAGAACAACTAATGCAAATAAGATTGAAAATGCAACAAAAATATAAATTTAATTAAATAACTTAATAGATATAGATCATGTCATCATATAAACTCTGTGGTTCAATACATATATAGTTTGTATCTGTATAGGAAACATGAACTGCAGGAATCTCAAAGGCAGATGGATTGTGATCCACAGGTAAAGAAATGAATATTCACCTTGAAGTTCTCATAAAACTTCTAATTATATGCATCCTAAAGTAATGTTCTACAGTTTACTTAAGCATATCTAATGAAAGCTTGCTAGAATGACTAACCTACCCATTTGATTTGAAATCTTCCCTTTGGGACATCGAACACAGTCATAGCAACAGAATTTCTTTTCTTCATCTCCTTTCTTCCAAAATCCAGGGGAACAATGGTCATTACACCGAGAAAGTGGAAGAACCTGGTGATAAACATAAAAGGTTTTGAAAAGGAAGATCTTTATTATTTATTTATTAATTTATTTATTAATTTAATTTATATACCGCCCTTCTCCCGGAGGACTCAGGGCGGTGCACAGCATATTAAAACAAATAACAATAAAATACCAGAATAAAAACCCCT